TTTCAGGAGAGGTCTTCTAAGAAGTCCCGATGAGTCATCCACTTGGGTGTCACCTTGTATCAAGGACACTGTAACACTGAAGTCACAGCCATCCACAACCCCAAACCCAGTCCTCAGAACTACAGCAGAAGGAACCCCCACCACCGGGCATGGCGTTCAGTCAGGGAGCCCCTGCGACAGCACACGGCCTGGCAATCCACCGTGAATGCATGCTCTGCTGCCCGAGACCCACTCCCCCAGAGACCTCCCAGTGCTTTGTGGTGCCCACTCTAACAGATCCTTTCCAGAAAAGGAAAGCCCATCTATTTAAAGGTTAAAGGTCCAGCACCAAGAAGGTACACGTTACTTTAAAAAAAAAAAAATCGTGAAACCCCTGTGTGCCATTGGTGAAGATTTGAAATGGTGCGACCATTATGGAAGACAATACAAAATACTAAAAATAGAATTGCCATATGATTCAGCAATCTGCCATCTGGGTATAGATCCCAAAGAATTCAAAGCAGGGATCTCAAAGAAATTTTGCACATCCACGTTCATTGCAGCACTACTCACAAAAAGCTAAAAGGGAGAAGAAACCCAAGTGTCGTCCATCAACAGATGAATGGATAAAGAAAATGTGTTAATTCTCTATATACAACTGAATACTACAGAGTCCTATAGAGGAAGGAAACCCTGTCTCATGCCACAGCATAGACGACCCTCAAAGATATTATGCTAAATGAATTAAGCCAGTCACAAAATGACAAATACAGTAGGATTCCATTTAGGAGGTATCTAAGCAGCCACCATCATAGAAACAGAGTATAAAGGTGGTTGCCAAGGGCGGAAAAAGGGAAGGAGAACTGGTGTTTTCATACGGAGTTCGTTTTGCAAGTCAAAGAAGTTTTAGAAAGACCCGCGGCACGATGTGATCTCTACTGAACCATATGTTTAAAAATGGTCACATTTGATGTTCTGTTTTTTAAACATTATTTAGAACATCTTGAGGGTGGCGCCTGGGCGGCTCTGTCGGTTAAGTGGCTCAGGTCCTGATCCCGGGGTCCTTGGATCGAGCCCCCCCCATCAGGCTCCTTACTTAGCAGGGAGTCTGCCTCTCCCTCTCCCTCTGCAGCTCCCCCCGACCGTGTGCTCACTCTCTTCTGTCGGATAAATATTTTTTTAAAAATAAAAAATAATAAAACATCTTGAAAGCACATTACAAAAGAAAAAAAAGGTGCCCGAAATAGGTAACATGAAGCTTCAGAGAAAACCTATACGGCAAGAGAACAAATGAGAAATAGGGGAAAAAGGATGAATAAGGGTCAAATCAACAAAGTCCAGAAATACGGTGCAGAGTCGACCACACAGTTTGTGGAACTGAGCCAGGAAGAGGGGCCTGTACACCTGCTTCGGGCCCAGCCCTGAGGATGTCTGTCCCCCCTCCCCGGGCCCCCCTTCCTCGGCCAGTCGCTTCTCTCAGAGGGCCTGCTTCTGTGGGAGGAGATGGTCTACACTACCCCCTCCCCTGTCCCGAGCAGGGAGAGATGGGGAGACGGGCACGTAGAGGGCTTGGCAAGGCCCCCCGACGCAGGCCACCGTGATCCTGATGATCACGACGGCTTCTCCGAGGGCTCGCACTCTGCACTGGCCAAGCCAGAAGGCCTGTGTCTTCAAACCTGCAAGAGCATCCGGCCCCCCCAACCCCAAAGTGTCCTGCCCAGCATTGGCCTGGCACCATTCTGCATCAAAAGAAAGTCAGGAACAGTCCTTTACCCAGAAATCCCTTGCCTCAGTTCTTAACAGCTGTAATTACAGCCACAACAGCTCCTCAAAGGGAGGGAAGCAAAGAAAACACAGCCTGGACCAAGCAGCGAACTGGGGGCTCCGGGGTAAAACACCCCCTGCTCATGCTGTGCTTGTCGTACGGCGCCAGGCGAACCCAGTGGCCACCCAGCCAGGCCCAGCAGCTTGGTGGCCAATGTATTTCCCCCTCGGATTTAATGAGCTGCTTGCCCTTGAAGCGCTGGAAGCAGGTCGGGAGGGGAGCTCCTGGCACACGGCCGAACAGGGGACAGGGGAAGAGGAGACAGGGCCACTCCTGCTGCCGGCACATGGCCAGTCCTACCAGATGCCCTGAACCTCCACAGCTCCGAGGTGATGTCTTCCCCACAGGGACCCTCTATTCCTTCTACACTGTGGTGTTTCTGCCGTGGACTCCCCCACCCCCCACCCCGGGAAGTTCCACGTCCCAACCCCTTGTTTCACCAAGTGGGCGCATCACCCAAATTAGCGTCCTAGAGTCGGGTCACGGAGGGGACAGAATCATCCTGGGCGCGAGTGCCAGCTCCACCTACCGACAGCAACTTGACCGAGAACCACTTATCGAGCCAACCCCAAACTGTTTCCTCACCTACAAGATGTGATAATACCCTCGCCTCATCTAGAGGAGGTGCAAGTATCAGGTAATACGCTGTTTCTACGCTAAAAGGCCAAATGAAGCACCTGACACACAGCAAGGGCTGAACAGTGACTATTACTACTGACAGCTAATATTTTTTTTTAATTTTATTTATTTATTCATGAAGAGACACAGACACAGGCAGAGGGAGAAGCAGGCTCCCTGTGGGGACTTGTTTAGCCCAAGGAGGGACTCAATCCCAGGACCCCAGGGTCACGCCCTGGGCTGAAGGCAGATGCTCAACCACTGAGCCACCCAGGTGCCCCCTTCTTTTCCCTTTTAAAGCTAAACCTGGGTTCTAGCAACAGCGGGACTCATTTGTTTTTCCCTTGAAATGATGGAAGTCTAAGGCCCCCCGAGAAATGCACAGCTTTCCAAGACAAATGGGAGAAAGCCGGACTCCATGATTTTTTTATTTTAATTCAAGTTGCCGACATATAGTATAGCACCCAGGGCTCATCGCATCATGTGCCCTCCTTAATGCCCGTCACCCAGTTACCCCACCCCCTGCCTCCCCTTCTGCAACCTTTTGTTTCCTAGAGTTAAGAGTCTCTTCTGGTTTGTCTTCCTCTCTGATTTTTCCCCCCTCAACTTCCCCTCCTCCCCTTATGATCCCTTGCACTGTATCTTATATTCCACATATGAGTGAGACCACATGATAATTATCTTTCTTCAGTTGTCTTATTTTACTCAGTATAATACCCTCCAGTTCTGTCCACGTCGATGTGAATGGTAGGTATTCATCCTTTCTGGTGTCTGAGTAATATGCCATCTGACAGCTAACATTGAGGTACAACTCTAATTATGATAAAGGTATTAATGACAACTTATTCCCTGTGTCTTAGTCAAATATGAAGAAAAGAGGGACATTTTTGGTGAAACCCCAAGACAGGCCAGCCCCGGATGCAGTCCTTACGCTGCAATAGTGTCAACCGTGGGGAGAGCAGTAGGCCATCGCCGCAGAGAGAAGACCCACCAACCCCCCCCTCCAGCCAAGGCTACTGGGCTTTCTATCTGAGCAGGAAGGCAAAGGAAAAAAAGGGGGGGGGGCATCTGGGAATATGCTGCATGGCAAGCCTGAAGCCACAGGGGTGAAGAATCACACATGGTCTCTCGAGATCAAGTGCAGAACTGCACTCAGGCCACATGCCCACCACTTCTTAGACCCTGGGACTCCTCTTGACCCCACTCTGAGCTTTAGTTTCATCTAAAAAAAATGAGGGTAACAGGACCCCCACTCCACAGCCTGCTGTGAACACTGAATGAACCCATATGAAAGTGCTTTGAAGCAACTCACTCCCATGTCCATGAAAAACAGCATTGTTGTTTTTTAATAGCTTCAACAAATTCAACTTAATAAAAAATGCTGAATGACTGGGAGGATCAAGGCAGTGAAAAAGTTACCTAAAAATAAATAAATTATATATATATATATATATATATATACACACACACACACACACACACACACACACACACACACACACACACCCAGCATGAGCCTAACACAGGGCTTGAACTCATGGACCCGGAGATCAAGACCTGAGCTGAGATCAAGTGTCAAATGCCTGACAACTGAGTCACCCAGGTGCCCCAAAAGCTAGTGAACTGCTCAGAGAAACAGGAACAAGCATACTAATTTTCTTAACCTAAACTACCATCACTGAACTGAGGTTTCTGTGGAAACGGTGATTTGGCTAAAAGGAAAATGGGCAAAAAGCCAACTGAAGCTCCCAACATCTGCTATAGGTTTTCCATTTAGGTAGTAGATTCTTCTGGAGACAAAGAGCCCAGATTGGCCTGCATTAGGATGACCCATCCGGCCACCTCCAACACTTTATCTCTCCAAAAAGTCCTACAATTCCATTCGACCAATCCCAAACCTACCTTTGAAATGTACCACTTTAAAGTAGCTTCTATTTCAGGGCAGAGCACGTGGACAAATTCCTTCACTGTGATCAGAAGACAACTTAATTCTTGTTCGGCCTCTGCTCTGCGTACCAGAGTCAGAAAGCCACAGGCTGGAACGTTTAACTAGACTCTGCTGGAAGATCCCCAAAATGCCAGAAGAGAACGGACACACTTTCAAAGCCTAAAGCAACTGACCGTGGAAATTTTGCTGAAACCCCACATTTGTTCTTGAAGATTCAAGTTAATCTTCTTGTAATACCACAATAAATTGCTTTACTTTTCAATGTTTTGAGCCAATTAATGTTATCAAACATTTCCCCTAAAATCTGCATTAAAAAGATACTTCACCATTCTCGCTCACTCCCCAGCAGACTCTACACGTCCTCAAGGTCCATGCATCTCAGTTTCAGAAGCCACGGGCCAGGAGAGGGGGCCAGAACAGTACCCCCTCCAGCCATCGCATCCATTCTCACCCTCACCTTTAATCAAGATCCACCACCCAACTCAGAACGGCTTCCCTGGAGAGTAGAGGGAGACAGGTCTGGGGTTCGCAAAGGGTGCAGCCCCCTTGGTACCCCCCAGGACTATCCTGGGGCTGACAGTTAAGATGCTGCAGTTCAGAGTCCACACAGCCCCATCCCCAGCCACTCACCCGGATCCGGCGCATGGCAGCCACGATCTCCACTCTGCTGTTGGGCCTCGGCACGTCCAGGCTTCCGACGTACTGCAGGGAGGAAGCAAAGCACTCGTTGAGAAGAGGGGTGCCAAGGGTCCCGGGCCACAGAATGTTAGCAGGAGGACTTCCAGTTACGCTCCCTATTTAGCAGAAGAGGAAAGAGCCAAAGGAGTGCCTCGTTCGGGGATGACTTCTACCCTTATAAAGAGCAGTTAATACAAGAAACCTATTCCATCCTGCTCTTGATCAGAAATGCAGCAGAGGATGCTGTTCAACCAGCCAGGCTCCCAAATCCGAAAGACCTGGGTGTGGCAATCTCCCAACACTGTCTTCGGGGCGAGGTACTTTGCCTTCGTCTCCACTGTAAAATGGGATTTCGGTCAAGATAAAATGAGAAAAGGTATAAATCTCTTCCACAAATATGCTTGGTTTATATTAAAGCATTCCTCTCCCCCTCCTCCCCAAAAAAGAGAATATACACTTTTTTTCTTTTTTCCAATTAATGGCATTTCAAGGAGTTAGCCCTGGATGTTATAGAGACTTCATACACTTGACTAAGTCCTAATTGGATGAAAGGAACATACTAATTATGTTTTATTTAAAAATTTAATCTTCTTGGGGCAGCCCGGGTGGCTCAGCAGTTTAGCGCTGCCTTCAGCCCAGGGCGTGATCCTAGAGGCCGGGGATCGAGTCCCACGTCAGGCTCCCTGCATGGAGCCTGCTTCTCCCTCTGCCTGTGTCTGTGCCTCTCTCTCTCTCTGTGGGTCTCTCATGAACAAATAAAATCTTTAAAAAATTTAATCTTCTACAAAAAAAAAATGTTGAATGAGAGACTCCTAAGTCTAGGAAACGAACAAGGGATAGTGGAAGGGAAGGTGGGCAGGGGGATGGGTTGACTGGGTGCCAGGCCCTGAGGGGGGCACTCACGGGATGAGCACTGGGTGTTATACTAGATGTTGGCAAATTGAATAAAAAAATCTACAAAAAATAAAATAAAATAAAATAAAAAATATACAAAAAATAAAATAATAAGATAAAATAAAATAAAAAAATAAAATAAAATTTTAAAAATGTTGAATCTCCTAAAGCTTTTGAGTTGTTTTTAAAACCAATGACATTCAGGTTAATGTTTAATATACGGATACTTCCTCACAGAACACTATTCAAATAATGCAGAAACACACAGAGCCAAGAGAATAAAGTCCTCCCCCCAGAGCTTGACATATGTCTTTTTGTGCGCTGATGGACACATATATTTATACGCACAAGGAATTTATTTTACGTAAAAAAGGGTTCACTCTCTTCACATTGTCCTGAATGTTGGGGTTTTGTTTTCGTTTTCTGTTTTTGTTTTTTTTTACTCTAAATACGACTTGGAAAAAAGAAAAAAAAAAGAAAAAAAAGAAAAAATAAATACGACTTGGGCATCTTTCTCTGCCAATGCATACAAGCCCGCATGTCACCTGTGACAGCTCCCCTGCTGATGAACACCTACCTTATTGGCAATGTTAACACTCCTGCTTCCACCACCCTCATCTACACACCTCTGAGCTCATCCAAGGAGCTCTGCAGGCTGGATTTCTACAAGCAGGATTGCTAGGTCAAAAATACAGGAACAGGGGATCCCTGGAGGGCTCAGCGGGTTAGCACCTGGCTTTTGCCCAGGGCGTGATCCTGGAGTCCTCGGATCGAGTCCCACATCGGGCTCCCGGCATGGAGCCTGCTTCTCCCTCTGCCTATGTCTCTGCCTCTCTCTCTCTCTCTCTCTCTCTCTCTGTCATGAATAAATAAAATATTTTTTAAAAATACAGAAACATCTTGAGGTCATTCCTTTGTAGGATCAAACAAGAAAAGAGGGGGGACATGTTTTTAGGCATACGTGGTGTAGCAGTTATTCATACACGCCATCCCATTCCACACTGACCTACTGGGTCTACCTTTCCTTTTTACGTTCAAGTTATATAAAATAGTCTGGGGGATAGCCTTGAAATTAACAGCCCCAAAATAACTTAAAAGTCTACCTAAGCAAAGACTGCATTAATAGAAGATGGAGCATAGTCATCCCTTCAGGGATAGTCATCCCGTATTTCCTGTGGTTACAGGAATAGAAGGTTCTTTCTGAAACAGAGCTAAGGCTAGCCCCAGTAAGGGAGGTTCCAAAAGCTGAATGCTGCAAAAGAAATTCCCCTAGGTTGATCCAGTTTGTGCTAATGCCCTGAAGAGGACAATCCCAGCGCCCTGCAGCCTGAGCCCAAGGCGACGGCCCCGTCACAACGTGCAGAAGCAGTGGACCTGTGGACAGGGCACCTGGCAACTCACTCAGGTAAGTGAAGCCCCCTAGATCTAGGAGTGGGGCCAGATTTAAACAGGGTTGGTGTTTCTCCCTCTGAGCCCTGCTGGGGCCCTTCAGCGTCACTCAGTGTGCCCATGACCTACACATTCCAGAACGACATGAGGCCCAAGTTTGGGATTGCCCAACTTCACAGGAGTTCCAGCAGTTTCCATGCTCCCAGTCCCCGGCCCTGCATGCCTGAGGGTTCCTGCCCTGAACTCAGAGCACGCAGACCTCCAGGGACTCACATTCCCTCCACCATGTGAGAGCCAGGACCTCGAGACCTGGCACGGTCACTCATTACAGGTGAGCCTGGGGGCCCTGTACTCCCCCACACACAGAGGACCGCTGCCACACCAGGAGGACCTGCTGCCCACTGAGATCCACACCTGAGCCTGAACACACATGCCCAGATGGGACCTGTCCCCTCCCTGCCATCTCCACCCGGCCCCGCTCTCCCCTCCAGAAGGGAGGCTGCTGGGTGGAGAACCCCGAAGCAGTCAAGAAACGGGGTGCAGGCAGGACGAGAGAGAGGAGTGGTGGCTTTCTGGCTTTGGACAGGTTTCCTAAAAGGAACTTAGACGAGGACACCCAAAATCTCCACCCGCTAATGCCTCCCCCACCCCATCAGCCCCCACCCATCCGGGGACGTATGCATGCACACACCGTATACCTTCACACACGTGCAGTGCACATACACTCACACCCCACATGCCACACGCACACACGCCCCACAAACCTGCTCCTCTCACACCCACACGGTCACCGCACATACTAAGAGCTTGCGGTCAGCTCCCAGCACGCACGCACTGGTCTGCCCTCCTTCCCAACCACGTGATGTCAAGAATCCACCTTTCTGAGGATCCACCTGCAGCCGGCAGCCCCACAGTAGACGCACCGCAGGGTCAAGTTCCCCACTACACGCGCCCCTCAGGGTCAAAGGGACTAAAAGGAACCACAGGTAGGGGTCGGGTCCACCTCTCTCAAAAGCTAGACTTTCGGGCAGCCCAGGTCGCTCAGTGGTTTAGCGCCGCTTCAGGGCAGGGCATGACCCTGGAGACACGGGATCGAGGCCCGCGTCAGGCTCCCTGCATCGAGCTTGCTTCTCCCTCTGCCTCTGTCTCTCATGAATAAAAATCTTTAAAACAAACATTAAAAAAAGCTAGACATTCACACCAGTGACGTGAGTCGAAAGGCAGGAGCACAGCACCAGGGAGGCAGGCGCGAGGTCAGAAAGCCCAGTGCTCAGGGCCCGGCCCGACGGCAGTGCAAGGGCGGCCTCGCAACCAGCCGTGTCAGCAAGCAGGCCACCTCCACAACTAACTGCAGTCCCCTGGAGCCCCTACCTTGGGCCACAGGAAGCGCAAGACACAGTCGGAGACCAGACCCCCCAGCTAGAGCCTGGGCCCCACAACCGCTCCAGGGCCCAGGCTTGCATCACATCGGTGGCAAGTGGCCCCGGGGCTTCCCACTCTCTGGAGGGCTGGCTCCCGGGCCTGCACCTCACCCACTGCCCTAACAAGCTGTCAAGAGCCTTGTTTCTGTCATCCTGCAGGGATAAGGAAAATCCAAAGGTGGACCCACAGCGACAGTGTCCCCTTTATCTGCTTCTCCGGTGGGACGCAGGGGGCTGGGGGCCCTGTGACCACAGGGGCGGGCTGGCTCGACGCCTGGGAACCGAAGGAATCATTTCCAGAAGGGAAACTTGTGTTCTTTCCCCTCCCTATCATCCCCCACGCTGTGCTCCTCACCTATAGGCTTCTTCGTCTCCGTCAACAGCCCCCAGGAACACCTACTGGTTGATCGAGCCTGGAACAGGGGAGTTTACACCCTCGAATGCCAATCCGCTTGTGTTACCCCCTGAAGGACGCGGGGGCTGGCTGCCAAGTGCTCTGAGGAGGACCATCAAAGCCTCGGCCTGGCCCACGCTGCACAGTCTCGTCTCACAGCACCGGCCCCTCCGTTGCTGGGAAGGCCTCAAACACGGCGCACATTCAAGGGCTTCCAGGTGTGCCCTTCCCCGTACATGGAAGGCTCCACTTCTGCCCTCCCTCTCTCCAGTCCTCCATCATCCATGGTCCTGCAGACCTGCCTCAGCTCGACTGCCCTTTGCTGCCCCCCAGGCCTCCCGCAACCCCCTCCAGGTCCCCTGCAGACCATGGGCACATGGCCACGTACAGGACCTCCCAGCACCGGTTAACCACGCCCACCCGCCTGGAATCCTCCAGGGAAGAACATACCCAGCCCCTGCGCTCCTGGCACAACCCTGGCTCCGATGAGGGGCAGGACAGGCCTGAGCCCTGGACTCTGACCGGTGTTCCTGCCTCCTCCTGTCCGCTGTCCCACCCTGTACGCTCCCCCCTGTTGTGATTCTATAAACTCCCCACACTTTTGTGCAGGTACCTGCACTGGACCCCAAGCCAGATGCTCTTACAGCAGCACACCCAATTCCCGGCTTGCCAGGGGAGGAAGCACATCAAACCCTTCTGTTGGTGGATTCTTAGTCACCTGGCCTTCTGTAAGACTTCTGTCAGAGTCCCTGCTGTGGGGCATCTCCTGGGGCTGCATTCAGAACATCTAACCACAGAGCTTAAGGGGAGAATAAAGAGGTTTTAAAATATCCAGACCTACTTCTTTTTCATTAGTATCTAGAAGGGTTGGGGGGGCAGGGGGAGAGAGAAAAAGCCTAGAAGGAAGACGCAATTTGTAGCAAGTA